AATGATCGCGCCCTCAGAGGAAAATTTGCTTTTATGAGCTAAAATTGACAACATTTTACTTGGCTTGATGGGTCACTTGGTATCGTATCAACACTAGTGCTGAGGACTTTCAAATGATACCCAACCTAATGATTAAGATGATTAAAGTGTAAAATGTCGACAAAACAATACCAAGAAATGTAGCACCCTCTGAGGACTTCGCCGTAGCACAGACTGCTGCTCAAATAAAAAGAGCACCAGTGAAAATTGGTCATTGGATGACACTTCCCTCCACTTCAGGGATTTTGGAATTGAGTAACTTCTTGAAACAGTGTCTTATTGGATTAATCCGTCTTCATTTGAGAAAGCGAAGCCTTGCTTGTGGCTCAAACATCATAATCTACTGCAGTCTATTAGTGGCAAATGTACGGTACAATTTCATACAATTAATGTATCGACCTAACACAAGATGGTGGTACACGTAATGACTGACTTTTAATTTTTAACATGTATGTTTTCTGGGAAATAACAGCTTTGATTCTCAGCTTGACACCCAGTGTGTTTTCAGTTGTTTTGGCTTTTAAGGGTAAAGAAAGAATGCAATAACAACGTGTACTGTATGTGGGAAGAGAGAACAAAAAAGCTTTTGAAGCAGCAGAGAAAAGTTACAGACAGAATACAAAGAGCCATCAGTGACCTCAGTTGCCTATTTGTGCTTGTCAGATTTCACAGCGCTGCAGGCCATTAGGGATTAATGAGGAGTAGAGCTGTTTACTTAAAGCAAGTGAACAGAACTAAAACATGACAGGTTAAAACATAGCAGTTGTCTCTTCAGTTTATCTCCGGGCTTTTGTCAGTGAAGGCAGCGGGGACGAAGGGATTCTGTGTGTGTGTGTGTGGTCTAAAGACCGCGACAGAAAGAAAGAGTGAAAGAGAATCAGGAATGGAGAGAGGATGGATCAAGACAAAGTCGGCTGGAAGTACACAGGCACCGAACCCTTTTCTGACATTTTTTCATAAATATTTTACAGTAGTTATGCAAGCATTTCTGTGGAGGCAGAGCGGGTCTATCCCGCTGATTTAGTTGAAATTCAAAGAACGGAGCCAAAGAATTGTACTTTTTCTATTAAGTTGATGCTCCTGACCTCTGAATCTCTGCCCATATTTTCAGTTTGTTAAGCAATTTAACTTGCTCATAGATAGTTATTTCATTTTGCCTGGGTCCAGACCTTTGAATCTGCCCACTTCACTGAGTGGGTTGACTGATTAGTCTGGCATTGTGACACGAAACAGTGATTTCTTGGTTAAAACAAAGAATGACTCATAAGTTGTGCGGGGAGCTTGATTAGCCAATTGGTGCCATGGGCAGGAGCAATGCTGTTGTCAAGCTGTTGTGCTAGAGACATGGTGCATCATAATAACTGCAATAGATACCAGACCCCAAGGTGGCACCTATTCACCCCACTGGAACTGCTCACCTGGCGCATACAACAAAAACAATTGAGCTTCTGGGTTTATTTTGAGGTTATGCAGCCCACCGAATATGAGCAGTAGTGATTCTCCAGCTAGCTCCACCCATGAGCTCCCACTTGGCTCATAGACTTTAACATTGCTATGCAGTAACCACCCTAACAACATGTTGGTGAAGGTTGTCAGTCATCCAGGTCACGGTAATCCTAAGTGTTGTATCATAGGCAGCTGGGCTTGCTTGAGTTTCTTGAAGAGGCTTCTGCAGTTCAAACTGACTGGTGCGGAGTCACAGACTTTAAACCCTGCGTGGTTGTGAACCCTTACAGAGTTGCTGAGGTCACATGTGAGTCGTTGACCCGACAACCCTAGCAACTGCCTACCTGCAAGAGCGTTCTCCTTAAAAGGAAAGTGTTTTTAAAAGCAGCTGGTGCCACTATAATCCACAGCTGCGATGACAGGCAGGTGTTTCGGTAAACACAGGCAGAAGTGCAAGCTAGCTTGTTGGGTACAAACTGTGGGAAGATGACGGAAATCACTGAATTTGCCGATTGATTTCTACATGTTTCGACAATTTACCAGTCATCTTAAATTTTGTTTGGCCCAGTTTTTCCTCACATTGTCCTTTTAAGTTGCTTTCACCATAACTTCAACAGCTCCTCTATCTTGTCTTCTGTCTGCCTCTGCAATGCCCAGTATTTGATCGGCCAAAGCCAGGCAGCAACCACCATAAGTTAAACACAGTGATCTATGCATGGCAGAGTAAAATCTATGCGTGTTCACGTGGGCCGCAACAATTTCATACCCCTACTGCAGTGTTTGAAACTGCCTCCCCTCTGCAGCCGTCCTCTCCTTGAAATGACTGGGGATGGCGAATTACTGTGCAGCGCTGTACAAGCTCCACTACATTGTGATGACATCACAGGTTTTTAAAAAGCTTTTCTCGCCAAGTAAAGTTTTGCAAATATAAAACGTCCATGGATAAAAACTCATTGTAGAAAGAGTCATGATTTACAGACGTTTTACAGTGGTGGTCTGTGGGACAAGTGGGGTTTTTTTGTTGTTGTTTTTTTACCGCTGCAATACAGCAAGTTGCCACTGGGAAAAATTGGAAGCAAGGCTGAAGTGTGTTACTGGGAGGCCTGGCCAGAATAACTGAGGAGTAATAACCGCAATGGCGAGCACTGTAGACAAGATAGACACTGCTATTAAGGCTGTTTTATATCATCATGTCTTCTCAATATCACCTGACATCATAGTCTGATTAACTTCACTCCACTCCCAGAATAACAAGTATGTTAGCATGACTATGCATAAGTATGGACTTAAAATGGCATTAGATTCACACCTTGGAAATCAGGTATGGTGGAGACAATGCCAGACTGAAGATGGAAACGGAGTGTAACAAGTTGACAATTCTGTCTGATCTCAAGCAATGGTTCCCGTGGTTTCAAAGCCAAATGATCAGTCAGAGCTTGACTATATCATTGAAACACAGTGACACAATAGCCACAAAATTGGCAAAAAGTATGGATGGATCTGATGCAGCTGAACAACTTGTTGTCAATCGACTTACAGAAAGAACATTCTGAAATGGCATTTTTCTATATGCCCCGAACAACTGCTACTGCAACGTCTGTGTTAACTGAAAATGAAATCAGCCGGAGGGATACATCACTCTGGACTGATTGGTTTGGACAAAACAGAACTAAATAACCCCCTTCATCCCAAAAAGAAAGCAGATAACATGTGAGGCTAAATAAAATGGAGATTCAGTCTGATTTGAAGTCAAGTGGGGAGGTCATGAAAAGAAGAAAGAAGCTGATTAGAGTGTCTCTCATTGTCATTCACTTTTAGTTCGCACATTATGCTCTGACCAATATTGGTATTTCTCATATCTTTTTATTATAATACATTAACACACTGGTGAACTTTAGGGCTGCAGTTGTTGCTTATGTCTTGGGCACTTGTTCTTGTTCACTGGTCTTTAGCAAAGCTGGCGATGCACTGAATGACTTTCAGCTTCTGCTTTGCACGCACTTTAAATTTAAATTGAATATTTATCTGCCAAAAGTCGAGTAAAAGGTGAATGGAAACCAAGATTAGCTGGACACTGAACTAGTGATTATGGGCAAAGACAAAAGAAACAACAGCAAAGAGCAGAAAGGAGGACAGGCTGTCTTGTTGCCAGAAATATATTTCAGACCTAAGTATAGAGTAAGATAACATGGGTATCTTTGTGAAGTGGGGTACTGTAAAAACACATAAAAGGGATATTACTTTTGCACCACTGTGTGTGATGATAAACCGCCAAGAGAAAATGAAACAGACAGACGGCAGCGTGACCATTTTCCACACAAAAAGCACTTCTATCTCTTAATTCCTACTTTCATTTCAGGGGCTTGAATGAATCCCCCCGAGGGTCAGAGGACCTCTTTGTGAATGCGAAGCCACTTATTTTCTCCATCTCAGTCTTGAGCAACACCATCAGTGACATTGTGACACCTCTTCTGTCAGACTGGATCTAAAGACATATGGTTTTATATATAGAATGGTAATATAGAACATAACGGTTTGATTATTTAAAAACGGATATAATACTGCGCTAGAAAACGAGAAAATTACAGTTTGAAACCATCTGAAGTAAATACATGTTGATTTGTTGAGTGCTGTCTGACGTTTTAAATCGACAATTCCAGGGTCCATTACAGAAAATCCCATTTTAATCCTTGAAGGAAAACTCAGGTGTTGCAGAGATTGTGGACATTTTGTTTCTGTCTGTGTGTGAGCTGCCCTGGCTTGTGTGTATTATCATAACTGAAATAAATAATAATACAGGTGCCAGATGTTCTTAAGTGCTTAAACATAATTTCTCCCCAACGATGCTTAAAACCTCAGCCACACATAAGCAGAAATGGATGATTGCAAATTAAGACACCATGTTATGCAACAAGAAAATTATTTTAATTGAGCTTGCATGGAGAAGTATTGCTTACTGGCATGTGAACTCCCTGAAGTTGGAGACAGAGGCAGAGAAATGCTTTGGAAGCTAAGCACTCAACAACTCACAGTGCACATTTTTAGGCCTAGTCCACACAGACATGGGTATTTTTTGTAAAAGTAGTTTTTTTTAAATGTGTTTTGGCCTTTTGTCCACATGCAAACTGTGTTTAAGGTCACTAAAAACTAACATTTTCCAGATCTGCAATCAGGGTGAAGATTTTCATGAACTCAGTTTAAGTGCTGCCATGTCGACAGGGAAAACTGAGGTCTTGCTTGTAAAAGCAGAGTGTGTGCCATTATCTCTTTTGTGAGGCCCCATAAATGAGGCAGCATAACACAACTCAGCAATATATTTGACAATGCTGTATGTAGAAAGGCTAAACATATAATTGCAGATGCCTCACATCCATAACACTCACAGTTTGAGCTGCTCCTTTCTGGGCGTCGATTTAGGGTCCCAAGAGTCAGTCAGAATATATACAAGAAGTCCTTCCATCCATCCATCCATCCAACCAACCAACCAACCAACCAACTATTGACACTGTACATACCACAGGAAGAAGGGAGTAGTGGATGCAGAACCCTGGCTCAGAGGGGAAGTACTCATCAGAGATGAAGCGGATCCTGATCTGATTGCCTTTGGAAGTGTGACTGGCTGGTGCCGACTGTGACCCACACCAGCGACCCAGGATGGTGTTCTCAGTCAGATCCTCTATCTCCACAAAGTCGTACCTGTTAGAGTGAGACAGAACAAGTGCATTAAGCGATTAATTTAATCTCTGAAACATCACTAGTTATCACTCTGGGAATTTAATTATTAGTTAGTTATTAGTTTAATTATCATGAATTGACTTTTGTCAAAGTTTTACTACAACTTCCAGCAAAATCTGGCTTTTCTTGAGCTTTCAGATGAAATCTTTAAGCATGCATGCACCAACAACTTTTCAAGTTGATTTCACCATCACAGACAAATTTGCAGAATCTGTTGGAATGACATGTTGAGACTTTGACCCATGATCTCGATCGTTTTGTGTCAGGTGGTCATAAAGGTGGTTGACAAATGATGCTTTTTATCTCATGTTCCTACAGTTATGTGGTTTTGCAGACATGTATGTGATTGTTAAAATATAAGGGATTTTCGGGGCGTTGGTGGCTTAGTGGTAGAGCAGGCGCCCCATGTACAAGGCTGTTGCCGCAGCGGCCCGGGTTCAAATCCAGCTTGTGGCCCTTTGCTGCATGTCATCCCCCTCTCTCTCTCTCCCCCCTTCACACTTACCTGTCCTGTCCATTAAAGGCAAAATGGCCAAAAAAATATAAGGGATTTTGGCGTAATATTTTCCATCAGGAGCAGAATTGGAAAATAATCTTAATCAACATATTCTCACTCTGACCTCGTCACATATCGACTTGTGGTCATGGACTTTCCACGTCAACATACGGCATGCAAGGTACCCTGTGTGCGTTGCTTGTTGACATTCTGGGACACTGTGTCAAGTTCTGCCTGTTACATGCATTGTCTTCTTTCAAAATACACTTCTGTTTTCACGGGAAATTTAACGTTTACATACAGTCTCTTTCAAAATAAAAGCACTATGTCAGTACAACACCGCACATTGACATTTTTTTCCTTCAACAACTAATGCATGTGGTTGGGTTTAGGCAACAAAAGCACATGTTGGGTTTAGGAAAAAATAACAGGGTTTGGCTTTAGAATCTTACGCAACTACCGTCTTTTACTGCCTTAACTTTCATATTTGTCCCGCTATATTTCCCCTTGATGTCTCCGGGTGCTATTAAACTATAACAGCAACTGGCCAAGTATCATGCTGACATTAAAGGATGGCTTTTTTCATCTGTGTTTGATGCCACAAGTCACTGCCCAAGTGTTAGATTTCAGCGACCTCGGAGGAGACCGGGTTGGCAAATACTGACCCTTCAAGATCCCCGGCCTTTGCAAAATCTTAAAACTGAAAACACACATTGTCTGATGATATGAGACGGTGTCAGACTTTAGTCTTTTAAAAGTATTTCCAAAGCATTTTCAAAGTTTTCTAGTGTGTGTGTGTGAGGCATTAATTGACCTTAATTTCCCTTTTGTTTGGTGTAAGCTGTAATGTTTGTCATGTCGCTGTCTCCTGAGCTCTGCCTTGACCTTCAGAAGGCGAGATTGTTAATATCAATAAAGTTACCGAGGGAAATAAAGGTTTAACCTAATTAAAAAAAAAGTTACAGTATCTGAGCTGTGAGAGATGAGATCTGTATCTGTTATTTACTGCCTGAATTAAATGAATGGATATTGCCTGTGTATTAAGGACAACTCTCAGGTTGGTTGATGGCGCAGCATGAGCAGCTGTTCTCACTGTGTAGCAGTTATGGCTGCTGATGTTGCCTTTTGACAGGCCTCTAACAGTGCTGCTCCATGTCATTGAAATATAGTTTTTAATTAAACCTTGGGCTCATTACACTGTGTTGTTCTGTATGTTGACTGTGGGAGAGCTGCGGGCCTGCTTCACTTGGACTCCAAAACATATTCTCAGTTGTTTGAACACTTAGTTTGTAAATCATCAAATTTACATGACTACTGTTTTGTGCTGGATATTCTCCTTATGTTTGAATATCAATATGCACAAAAACTGCAGCTGTAAGAGGGTATTAATTCTGCAATAATGTGCTTTTATGTAGACTATTAAGACTATTATGTTGAGTATTCAGACTAGTATTTCTGTTTTCCCTGGCAGCAACTCTTCTTCGATACCGACATGAATAACCCATGTAATTGGACTGCAACAGAGTTTAAATTATACAGAGTTTTTCTGGCTATAAACATAATAGTCACTGAAAACTGCAGAAGCGACTGGTGGTTCGAAATCAAACATTGTATCTGAGAAAATCACATGCAGTTTTAGAATAATATTTAGTTTAAACAAGATGGGTTTAACAGGTTTCAAGGATTTAGTGTCACGAATTTCAAAATGACGATAAATGTCATTTGAGGAAAAATATAAATAAAAGCCACATTTTGCTTGTTGTGGGGATCCAACTTTGCGACCCTGTAATTACATGACAGTCTCTCTCCTCACCAGCCACCCTGCCAACCCATAATACCAGTAAACATTGTGAAGTGCAGAAGCATATGGCCGTACTCCAGACTCCACTGGTGTGCCAAGGCTAACATTGACCAACCTCAGCACTTAAGACACGCAGTTCAGGAGTTCAAGCCTTTATTATTTATACCTGTGTGTGTGTGTGTGTGTGTGTGTGTGACCAGTGGCTGCACTGCATTCAATACAGCCTTGTTTCACTGACTCTTCACAGTCTGGGATTAATCACTTTGCCATTTGCGTCAACAGGCACGCTAACCTCTCATTCAGGGCTGCCAATTCGGATATTTGGATTTCAAGGACATTGTTTACATTTTGCACAGGCTTGACAGATTCAGTTCAAGCTGGTTTCAATAAAACAACACGGAGGGACCTGAGTACGACTAAAAATGGGTTTTCTGTGATGTTAAATAAACTGAAGGGGAGGGGGTCGATAAATTTACTGACTCCGCTGCCTTTGATTTGGAAAGTAATACAGGAAGTTTGTTATCTGCACAAACAAACGTAGAAATTGGGAAAGGTTAAACTGAAAGTGTTCTTTTGCAAAATAATATATGCAGTTAAAGTGCAGGTACGGCAAAAATAAATATGTTATGAGTCTGTCATAACACAGAAAATATGTCTCTGACCACCCAGCCAAATTTGAATGATTAAAAATGTTGCCAAGTGCATAAAATACGGTTTCAAACTGTGGAAAATTAAGCAGTATTCTCTGCTCTAAAACACTGAAGACGATGAAGGAGCCGCTGTGAAGCAACAGACCGTCATTAGCAGCTCTCAAAGTAGCACAAAGCACACACACCCTTAGCTGGAGAACGAGCTGCTGCACAGTGACAGCCTCTCGTTCAGCAGCTAACAGCTAACATTGCACATCATGGCACATCCACTCCCATAAATGATGTCTATTCCAAGAAGAAGAAGAGAACAAGAAGATATACTTTAATACGTTATTAATCCCTGAGGGAAATTTAATTCACTCTGGCCTGAAATACACACACATACACAAACAGGACTTATACATGCATAATAAATGGAGAGATATCAGAGTGAGGGGGCTGCCTGTGGACAGGTTGGGTCAGGTTACCACCTCAGTGGTGCCCAGGAGATGAGCTCCAGGTACCAGTCTGCACGGGTTCCTGTGCCGGCAACCCTCCAGTTTCCATCCCAAGTCCCCACAGACTGAGCTACTGTTGCCCCCAATGGAGTTGCTTGCCTGGTGCATAGGCCGACAAAGTTTTCTAGCTTCCGGGTTTACTTCCATAGTATGTGACCTCCTGAATATGCGCAGAAGTGTTTGTCCTGATGGTCCTGCCTGTGAGTTCCTGCTAGGCTCATAGACTGTACATTGTGATGACGTCAATTTTCTCAGCATGAGGAAAGTTTTACAAATATAAAACCACCATGGCTCAAAAATTCTGATCTTGTTTGCAGTTTGAGGTGTCCTGTCAATAGTTTTACAGATGCCTCTTTTATAATCGTGACCTATGGGGAAAATGCTTTTTGGGCTGCAGGGGATTTTTTTTCACTGTAGTACCATGAGTGGCCACTGGGAAAATTTGCTGCAAGGCTGAGCTACTTTACTAGCCTGGTTCCAGACCATAGACCCCGCCCACTCAACTGAGTAGGCTTGCATCTCTGGTCTGGCATACTGCAATGAATTTGCGATTTATCTCGTCCAAACGATGGACGGACCAATGAACACTGGGGGTGGGGGCGGGTCTAGCGATTAGCAAATCAGTGCCACGCTGATGTCAAGCTGTATGCCGGTGGGTAACTGGTGAGGATGGCAACAATGGTGACTGCTACAGATCCTACAGACCTCATTAACGATGCTATCAAGGTATTTCACCACTACTCGCGTTAATGGAGGACCAAATTAAGGAAGCTGCTAAACTGGATTTAACGGCGATGCAGCTGGGCGTGCACGACGACGGAGACATTTTAAACGGGCAATGCTCGCTTGTTTTCGGCACCCCTGAGGCATGGATACTAATGACGTCAGATTCTGGGTGAGTCGTTGATCTCTACTGATTGGTTAGGGAAAAATCAAATTCCCTCCCCCTTGTAAATCACCTTCAATGGAGGCAATGTCAGACTGAAGGTTCTGGGAGCTTCAGTCTGACACTCAGGCTAATACTTTACTGGGGGCTTGCCTACTCCCCGTGCCAATGAATGAGCCTCCGCACAGCGACAGCCTCTTGTTAGCATAAAGCCCACGCTCAGAGCAGTGAGCAGTAACTGCTGGGCTGGGTAGCCGATATATTGCTTGGGGGCGGCAGTTGCTTTGCCCATATGGACTCGGGTTGGGAACCAGAAGGTTCCCAGTTCAAGTCCCTGTCTGGATGGTCCCTGTCTAGAGGTGCCAGTTTTCCTCCTGGGCACTGCCAAGGTGCCTTTGGGCAAGGCACTGAACCTCCAAATGCTCAGGGCACCAGTCCAAGGCAGCTGCCTCGCTCTGACATCTCTCCATTTGATGCATGTATAGGTCCTGTTTGTGCATGTGTGTGCATTTCAGGCCTTTGCGTATATGACAACAAAGTGAAAAAGTATTTTCCCTCAGGGATTAATACACTATATCTTCTTCTTCTTTATATGATTGTGGCATTTAACGGAGCTGTTTATTCATATAGTTGTTAGATTGAAATAGCTCAGAGAGCTTGAGGACCGTAGGGAACTTGTCACTCACACACAGGAGGAATGAGACGACACTGATGCTGTGTTAGGTTAGTACTGATGTAGTAGAGGAGGGGGTTATGATAAGGATAGTTCCAGTGTGTCATCGTGCCATAATTTTAGGCCAAACCAAATAATCCTGAACAAAACAGTCGAGCTCCACAGTGCAGCACTGTATAGGTCACAGTCTTTTTACATTTTCACTAAGTATTTTCTGACATGTATAATGTATTTAGAAAGAAATGACTGATTTTGCTTTACCCAGACTTTAAATGCACAAATATGAGACTGCATAAACTGTAAAACATTCATTTACATAACTGCAACCAGACTGGCATGTAATGGTTTTGGAAAGGGATGAAATATCAGTTTAGCTTCTCTCTCCCTTTTTGGATGGAGGTCAGTGAAGAGAGAAGCTTTCCTCTCTAAAAATCACCCCTCAGACAGCTCCGGAGCTTTGACAGATGGCTCATCAATAATGCAGGACGCCCTGATCATTACACATCGCCATGTGTTCAGAATCACCATGTCGAACAGCGGTTTCTCAGATTTACAAATGCACTGACATACATAAAGAACTGAAAGTACAGTCACAGTGAATGGGATCAGGACAACAAAGGAATCTTATGTACAGTAGCCCACTACCAGATAGGATTACTTTCCTGCACACTGTATGGAAACTGTGTTTAATATTCACAAAGCTTTCCCCTACATAGTTTTCCCCTTGTACATTATTAATAGATACAATATCTACCACTGTCATGATGCAGATTAGCAACACAAACACTGTTTCTCAGCCCTCTCCTTTTAGACAGAGCGCATAAATGCCTTCCTGAGAACAGTCCTGTCTGTGAGCCGTCAAGCACGACTCTGCTGCCATGCCAACCAGCAGCAAGACCAATCCCTCTCCAATATGCCTCTCCTCCAGTGGATTTGGTAAGAATGCTTTTCATCGTGCCACAGACAAACAGAATAGCAGATGAGCATCTCGACTGCACAGCCTCCCTCTCATCTTAGCGAAGGCTTCTCGCTCCAGGCTCGCTACCAAAGCCGAACACATCTCCCACTGTTGTTTGTTTTATCCCCTGCCATCGCTGTGAATCACTGGACGGGAGATTACGAGTCTTGTTTATTTGCATCACATTGTGCAGTGACACAAGTGTAAGAGTAGTGTATCAATAACATTGTGCCTGAATTTTTTTTTTTTTTTTTTTGCCATGACAGCAGAATGAGGTTCTGAGGGGAGATTTTGTGAATAAATTTTTAAACACACATGAAAGATAAAATAGATATGCACACTAGGCCAGAGGCTTGTGTTATGTGAGTGTGTGTGTATGTGGGACAGAGGAGTCTGTGTGTTTGAGGGAAAACGAAGGGAAAAAGGGTAAGAGCAAAGACAAGCACATAGACATGCGAATGTGTGTCTGTTTCTGCTTGTGAGTGCACGCTGCATTCATCCGTCTGCCAACCCTGCCAAGAGTGTGTATCTTGGGATCGGATCAAAACCTGTTGGGCCTCAGTCTGGGGGAAGGAGTGAAAAATGTGAGAGCTGGAGCGGTAGACGTGGCGATGACTTGCATGACCCTGGAAAAGGATGTTGTTATTGTCTCTCGCCCCTCTCCCTGAGGAAGACGGCGAGTGCAGTCTTGCACAGGCAGGACGGCACAAAAGTTGTCAATCTGCACCCTGCCCCACTGTGGAACTTTCCCTCACGGGGTTTCAACAGAAACACTAACCTCATAAGTCAATGTGCACAGAGGTGTGCTGAGGGGGCTCAAATTACCTGCACTCACATACTGTTTTTTTTTTTTTTCAATAAAGACAGGAAGTATAATGTCAAACAGAAGCGTGAATCCGGAACGGCAGCACATTATAGAAAATGAATTCAGCTGCGGCCTGATCTGTGAAGCTGAATGGAGCCATCACTGGAACAGAAGCACACTGATTTACATCTTCTTTTAATTTCCTGATATGTAAAGCTGACTTCTCAGAAGATACATGCTCATCTAATGCTGCCAGTATAAACCTTTATCTGTCATTCCCCTTGTCATCCATTAGGGGGCTCTCCAGGAATGACTAGCAGGTCACCCTCCCCCAGCTCTTCTCTAGTGATTGGGCTCCTCCATGCTAACCAGTCAGTTGTGATATATTGACAGAGGGGCACTGAGTAAAATGCACTGAGGGTAAATCGATTGTTGTGGCTTAGGATCCCTGTTTAAATTGAATGGCAACAGAATCAAACCCAGGCAGTAATTGAAAGTGGGCCTCTTAATAAAGAAAGGGATGTGCTGTATGTATATGTGTGTGTTTTTTTATATGTTGACAGTCAGAGGGTGTGGTGCGTATATTTCAAACAATCACGTGAACGGCTAAAAATATTGACTACATCGTGTAAAATATGCAGGTCTGAGCCACGTCATCATGGTGTCCTGGAAACAAATCACTCCGCTGCTGGGTTCTCAATATTCACGAGCTGCCACAGCAGACCAAAGGCAATTTCACAAATGGCCACACTCTAACTCTAAATCTTTAAAGATGGACGACGACACAGGCAGGACACGTCTTTACCCCGGACCAACACGTATCTGGCATGCCAACCGGGGAAGCCCCCCGTCTGATGACAGCTGGCCAAGCAGAGGAAAATTTAATGAGAAACTGTGCTGCAGGAGATGATGCTTTTCATAAAGTGTAACAGAGAACATTTTTATTTGGACAATAAAAGCTACTTTTTCTTTTCTTTTGAAATTAAATTTCTAAACCATTTCAAGAATAACCATTTTTCAAATGATTGTTGAGGACCCTGACAGGAAAATGATTCATGTATCCCACTATTTTTGTTGCATGCTAATGCTTTAGCACAGAATACATTGGCCCTGAAAGACAACCAGAAGTTGGAGGAGAGGCACAAACACAGAACAGAATCACCTTACAAAGTAATGTGATGCTTTATAATACTCAGAAATACTTTGTTACAAATATAAAGATGACTTTTTTTTGGTCCAATTCCCAGATGTACATCAAAAACCACTGACAAGGCTACAGCTATAAATCAGGATGTTAGCATAGAGCAACACAGATAAAATGACTAGCAGGCCATTTTCTCTCAAAATTAAAGGGTCAGTTCACCCCCAAATTTAAAATACGTATTTTTCCTTTTACCTTTAGTGCTATTTACCAGTCTAGGTTGTTTTGCTGTAAGTTGTCAAGTATTGGAGATATTGGCCATACAGATGTCTGCCTTCTCTCAAATATAATGGAACTGGATGGCACTCATCTTGTGGTTTTATTTTATTTTTTATTTTTATTTAACCTTTATTTAACCAGGCAAGTCATTAAGAACAAATTCTTATTTACAATGGCAGCCTGGCAAAAGGCAAGAGCCTCTTGAGGAGAAGGGGACAGGGATTAGAGGGGTATCAAAAGATAAAAGAAGCAGCAACACATACAATGTGCACCACATAAAAGACAAACAGCATAAAGTGGCTAACAGAGAGCAGCATCACGCAGCATAGCAACAACGAAAATAGCGCACACATGCAGCAGGACGGACAATGCAACATCAGCAAAAAACAAAACAAGCAATGCAACAAACAACAAACATACAAACAGACAAACAACAAATAGTAAGACAGACTAGCAGAGCAACAACAATAGCAGCAGGAAGAAGAAGCATACAATGAGCAAACAGAAGGCAGCCAACAGACAGAAGTTCCAGAAAGAAATACTACTGGGTCAAGAGCAGCTGCATGTTTCAGTGAGAATGTCCAAAAGCGTGCCCTTGAAAATTGACTTGGGAATGAAGTTTTCCAGCTTTAGCTTTTTTTGCAGGTCGTTTCAGTCCTTGGCTGCAGCAGCCTGGAAAGACGACTGTCCAAGTCCACTATTTGTGGTGCTCAAAGCATTAAAAAAAACATGCTCAAGATAAACCCAAAGATTTCAAGAATACATTTATACTGGGTGGCAAGATGGTGCCTATTCAGTCCAGTGGAGTTGCTTCTGATATTTAGAACGATTTTCTCGACCTGAGAAAAAATTTCACAAATATTAAACCTCTGTGGATCAAAAATGATCAAGATTGAGTCAAAAATGACCTTGTTTGCAGTTCTAGGTGTCCTGACAACAGTTTTAAAGACATCTCTTTTATAATGGTAGCCTATGGGGAAAATGCTTTTTGGGCTGCATAGTATTTTTTCACTGCAATACTGCCAGTGGTAAAATTTGGCTGCAAGGCTTAGCGGCGTTTGTGGGGGCCTGGATAATCCAAAGACCTTGTTATGAGCAGTTTCATATAGGAACTATTTTCTTTCTACCAAACTACACCTGCCAACCGTATCACTACACAGAAGGACGCATGTATCTACTGTTAGCTCACCTAGCACCACTGAGCTAGCTAACGTTACAGCTTAATTGAGGAAGACGCAATTAATGTTATCATCTAGTGCTGTCATGAGCGCAAGCCTCTTATTTATGAGTAGATGCACAGTTCCTTCTGTGCAGTGATACAGTTGGTGGGTGTAGTTCAGAGGAAAGAAAGTAGGTCCTAATTGGAACTGCTCACAACATGCTCCATAGATTATCTTGAGTAACTGGGTCATGATTCTGGAAAGAGACATTGCTGCTGAGTTTTTCAAATATTTTTTGGCGCTATGAAAACGCTGAGTGCCTCTATTATACTGGAGAGACGGCAGACATCTCTACAGCTGATAGCTCCAACCTTCTGCAACTCACACCAATCAATTTAGATTGGCACTACAGGTAATAGAGAAAATCTGTCCTTCCTTAATGACTAAAAAACTGCATTTTTATCTGCTTGTATTTATACTGAGACAATCTACTGCCAATGTTCTTACTTGCATATTCCGTCTTCAGGGTCCTCCAGACCAAACTTCTCATCAAAGGTGAGCTGGATTCTCATGTTAGTGGTCGCCACTAGTCTCCAGACCAACACGGTGCTCCTGGGATAAGTGTTTGGGAAGTCTGGGCTGTGGACCATTCCCTCTCCAGACACTGTTATGATCTTCTCCTGATGGGAATCTTGAACTCCTAAAACAGAAATCAGATTATGGTTTATGTTTTGCATATACTGTTCTCTGGCAGTTTGATTGGTTTAGATTAAATCAGTTAAATTGAATCAGACATTACTGACAAAGGCTTGGCTTGGAGAGGACACTGAGCTTACGATCGGAAACATAAACATGTCAAGAACCTTGCAGAGAGATAGGATGCAGTATGAAATATTGAACAGGTGTCCGATATAAAAGGTGGGACTTTAAAGAGGGAACACAAGATTGATGCTCCCTTTATGCTTTATTCAATTTTAGGCAGTCTTGTCTGAAATACCCTGACATATCTGGGTCCTACTCAAACCACAGTGTTACACTATTAAACAGGCAAATTATTAAATAATTGCCACCTTTATCGTTCCACTGGGGTTTGTCTTCACCCTTAATATACATAAACACATGCAAGAAAATATACACACACAACAAGAAACTAATAGTTCTATATCTGTCTGTAAGGTAAAGATTTTACATCATTCCAAGGGAATAATTTAAGAAAAAATATCATTTCAGTTTGTATTGATTGCATGATAGAAACTGCTGAAGAGGCAAACACAGTCTTAGACCTCATAGAAAGAAGCCTGACCCATGAAAGGAAGTCTGAATCTGCAGCTGAGTCACACTCGGCTTTGCTCTGATAAACAAGAGGTTAAGAGTAGATGAGATTAAAGAAGGGTGGAAAGGAACAGTCTGACAGAAACAAATCAAACAGGTTGAGTTCAACAGTGAGAAGTCCAAAATCTGAACACAAAATCGGTCTTCCAAAGGAAATTAAGCTTAACTCTACACTCCACACTACTGTGTGTTATCGTCATAGTTCCACAAATATAAAACATTAGCTTAGTGCAGGGTGCTTTACAGGGAAAGCACTGCCTGATGGGTTTCACCAAGCTCCTCTCATAAAGCCATTAGGGCCCACTGGGACCAGTGGCTGCAGGATTTAATCAAAATGACGAAGCTTGTCACTCAGTCCCCCAGGGTCCCATCAGGCTGCGTCACCTTCAGGAGAAAAATTGCCAGGATCCTTCCACCTGAGCCTCACAACCATTGCAATGACAACAGCCCGAAGCAATGCTGATTACACGACTGTTTTCATTTCATCGGGTCAGAATAACAAATGTAAGTACACGAGAAGAAAGATTGTCTGGTGTGTTTAAGCGATCAAAATCGCTACAAAGTGGCATCAATTTATTTAATTAGCAAATAATTTATTTATGATCTGTTGTCATGAACAATCAGCTTCATCAGCGCCGCAACACAGTCTGAAAACTCGACAATTTCAGATTTATAACACACTATTTTTGATAGGATTTTTATCCTAGTTTAGAAACACAAGGGGGAAACAGAGAGTCTTCATCATAATTGAAAAATAAGCCCTTTGGCAACTTATTTATATTTTTGCATTTTGTTAGCTAGCATGCTAGTAACTGAGTGTCAGCTGGGTGCAGGAAAATGTAAGCTAAAATGTGAGGTGGGGGACTCAAGTCATATGACTTTATTCAGGTCAGCTTGGATTTGCAAACCAGATGACTTGAAACTTGTGTGACTAGCACAGATAAAAGACTTGACTTTGACTTGGTATCCCAAGTTGTCACATGTTGCCACTTTCTTAGTGGCCTTTCATATCTACAAATCACATGCTGGGTCCTCCTGGATCTGCTGTTGATATCTGGGGATGCTACAACCAACGCTGAGACATTAACAACAGCACATAGTTAGGTTTCCAAAAAACCCCCATCATGGTTTGTCTCTGCATTCATACGGAGAGCAAACATCGGGCTCCCAGGTGAAAGTCCAGGGTTTGTTGTACTGGTCCACCCTGTAGGGACTGTCCAGCAACATTTCAACCTGACGCCGTCCAGCCATGTATCTTACCGCTGCCACTGATACCGTCAGGCTGACTAGGGGTGTATCATGATACCCTTAAAGATTATGTCCGGCCATGTTACAGACTGGTGCCACCCATGGCGTATCATATCACCGTGAAGGGTGGCTTTTGGTGCCAGATGTCTGATGCTGAAATCACTGACAAAAAGGCAGTATTTGACGACTTTGGAATGAGAACGGGCTGGGTATTCATGACTTGAGACTGTTTCTATCAAATACTTGCATTTTTCTTAATATTGACAAGTTATGTTTTGTTTTATAATTTCATTAGTTGATTTCTGGTGCAATGCACATACCTGGCAACCTGTTAGGATGCGTCAGGCCAGCAAAGGCCAACTTACGAGTCAATTATCTCAGAGGGGGCTGGTCCAAAATGAATAAAATCTGGATTCAAAGATAATGTTTTCGATGACGGTAGTAAGAAGAGAGTGGTGTGCAAAGTCTTCAGCTCAAAAACCAGTGACACACCCACCACAACATCCGTTCTTCTGTCACCACAAAACCCATAAAGAAAGGTAGCCTATGTGAATGTGTCTTTTTAGCTAACTTATTAGGTTATTGGCTGGTCAAATGTTAGCTTTCAAGCTTCAGAACATCTTACTTGACTTATGACTGGCTTGACCAGAGCAATGGCTTGACTTATAGAAAGGGACTTAACATGCTTGATTCTCCCTACAGTAAATTGGGACTTGGCCAGCTATATTCCTCTGCTCCCAATCTTTGTTTTCATTATATCAGATTACATTAGGTTAGCTTTTATACAATTTATATAACTATATATATGTTTATATAAATTTATATAAATAATTCATGTAAATAAAGTTCATATAAATAAACTTAAATCAAATTTAAGCTTATAAAATAAACTTGATTTGATTTTGAACATGCAAAAATGAAACTGAATTGAATTGAATTGAATTGAATTGAATTAAATTAAATTAAATTAAATTAAATTAAAAAATGTTAAAATAAAGATAGCCTAAAAAAACCCACATGAGTATTTCATGTCCAAAAAGCTAGCTTGCTTAGCTAAGCTAAACCTGCCATGGAACAATTTATTGAACGCACAGCTGCAATAAATCTTCTCATGACCCTTGACTCTTGGTACAACAAAATAGTCTTTCCATATAATTTAGTTTTACTGTAGCTACATCTGAGAGAGCAGCCAATCTTCCTAGTTTGTCCCATAAAAGAATTCTGTGCCCTAACCTTAATATAAAAAGAGACTAATTAAAATGCAGTACAGAGGCCAGCAGTTGGGGCAACAAAAGTGTGCACTGATTTTTAAATGAATACAGTAGCTGTTAAAATTCCACATGAAGCACTTTTCAACAGTTCGATCGACTTCACTTTGCATAATTGTCACAATACACTTCAACACTTGCTAAATACACTGTTATTAGTATCATCATGCTGTGTTGTGGCTCAGAGATTACTCTGATAAGTTTATCCCATCCCCAGCCTATCCTTAATTTGTTTAAGCAGTATTTATTTTTGTACCACTGATGATCATTCAGTATTCACAAACCGATCCAATACGTCTAGCCATCAGAGGAACAAGCAGGGGTTTAATGCACTCAGGAGAAAGGAGTGTGCTGCTGGAAGTTTGTTACTGCATTAAACGGATGAGTAACCATTTCCCCAGTGCAACTTGTTAGACAAATTTATATTTGGAGCACATTTTGAGCTTGATTACTCTTTATTTTTGCCATAAATTTGATTTAAGGATGTGATTCATACCCAGCGGCTGATTCATTCTGAGGCTTGCAATAGAAACATAAACACAGGCAGGTCAGGTTTGTGCCATGTTCTCACTCTGCATAATGTCAAATAACAGTTCCACTGAGACTCGGAGTTTCTCTGTGAGGTTCCAAGGACAACATGTCTGTCTGAAGGAGTGGTCACTGAAAATAAGTGAGTGAAACCAACCTCAGTAAGGGTACTGTCTGGTTTTCAACATCACTTAAAGTCAGTAACAATTCAAAGAGATAGAGATTTCTCCCTCCTGTCGCTACGCCTGTCAAGTTTTCTGTTCTCACAGGGGACGCAGAGTTTACAATGACAACAGTGGCAGATTCATCACTTGAAATTCTCTGTAACTTTGGAAACAACCTAGATTTTAGACAGACAGCAGGTAGAAACAACAGGATGAAATGTCAACAGTCCTCGCTGAACTCACTGGCAACCCAATCTTCAGAAAAAAATATTGGCATTGTACATTTCTACAAACTATGGATAGGTTTAGGCACAAAACACACTTGGTTATGGTTAGACAAAGATCATGTTTTGGCTTAAAACATCCACATTTGGAGGCACCCAAGTTGAAAAACGACCAAGTTTGGTGGCTCAGACGCTGCTGGTAAACACCATGAAGGGGTGGTAAAAACACCCAAGATGGGCCATTGAGAAACGCTGTGAAAAGTTTGTAAATCACTTGGGACTGGCGGCTCAAATGCTGCTCACTCTGACCTCGTCACATATTGATGTTTGGTCATCAAATTTCCACATCAAGATATGACCTGCAAGGTACCCTGGGTGCCTTGGTTGTTGACATTCTGGGATGCCATATCAACTCCTGCCTGTTACATGCTGTTTTCAAAATACACTTCTGATTCACAGGAAATGTACAGTTTGCATACAGTCCCTTTCAAAATAAATGTACCACATCAGTACAACACTGGATATTGACGTTTTTTCCTTCAACAACAAATGCACTTGGTGGGTTTGGGAAAAAAACAGGTTTTGGCTTTACATTCTTAAAGGAAGCGAGCACCGTCCTTCTGGGTGAAAGTTGGTGGTTACTGGACCCATCAACCACCCCTCCCACCTGCCTTACTCAGACTGTCACTGCCTTAACTTTTGTTGTTGTCCTGCTGCCTTTCCCCCTGATACTGCTGGGCACTGTCAAACAGTAACAGTGACTAGCTGTGTATCATGCCGACATTTTCATTGGTGTTTGATGGCGCAAGTCACTAACCAAGTGCCAGTTTTCGCCGACTTCAGAGAGAGACCGGGTTGGCAGAGAGTGTGTATTCCTTAGAAACACGACATCAGAGCAATAAGCATTTGTTTTTGGGATAGCATGCAGTCAGAGAA